GGAGTTGAAGTCCACCCATCTTTAAAGTTGCTGAGGCTGAGGAACCCTGATCTGAAGAATAGTTTTCAGAAATTTCTTTGCCTCCCCTGTACTTCTACTAAAGGCAAAATGTTTAGGTAAGATAAAGCAGTTTCTTCCTGTAAACCTGTGTTTCAGGGGGCTCTCCATCTCCTGTGCCATCATCTGGCTCTTGAGAGATCAGGCCTGTGGAACTGGATCCCATACCGTATTCTTGCTTCAAAGAAGAGCCCTTTAATTCATGGAAGTAGTCACTGATGATATCTTCAAGAAAGGAGATGCTACTTTAACTCATTGTAAGAGGAGAGCCATGTTAGTCTAAGGCTGCAAAATTCAGAATGGGTGTGGCAGCACCTTCTGTGACTAAAAAAAAATATTAAAGGGCAGAAGCCTTCCTGAGCTGCAGCTCACTTCATCCAATGCATGTTTTATGCAGCTGCAGCGTAACAAACATGCATCTGATGAGCTGTAGCTTCTTATGCAAACATCTCTACAAGGGCTGCAGGCTTACTGTGAAGGGCTAGGCAAAACTGCCACAATCGTCCACCTTCCTTGTCAAATCTTGCTTTTATTATCTTGTTTTCATTTATTTTTTAAAGTGTTTCAATAGTTGTGATGTTGTTTTCACTATTGGTTGTATGCTGCCCAGAGTCACGTTTAGTGAGATGGGTGGCTGTATAAATGTGTGGATGGATGGATGGATGGATGGATGGATGGATGGATGGATGGATGGATGGATGGTCGGTCCAGTCCTTGACCTAGAAGGGCCCAGAAGCATTCTTGGGAGAGAATAATGGTAGGCAGTTGCAGCCGGAGAGATGGTTTGGTTTGCTGCACATCTGCTACTTTTGTGGGGGTGGAGAATAAATAAATAAAGATTGAAAGAGAATGGGGCAGTGAGAGCTGGAATTGTGGGGGTCTTGCTGAGCTCACGAGTGCCTGCATTGTCTAGTTGTGCCAGGTGCTGATGCCAGGCCCGTATGCAGATCCAGACAACATTACACCCACCAAATGTGCATGTGTGAAGTGGGGCAGGGGTTTGTGGCATGCATGTTAATAGATACCCTTTGTACTTACATTATGTCAATGCTATGTAAAGTAGTTCTAACGCTATTATTCAATCACCTGCTCCTCAAACAAGAAGTATACAGCTGGTTACTGTGCAGGTTGACACAAATGCCTTATTATGAAGAGTGTCTGTTTATCTAGCTATATTTGTTTAATGACTTATTTTGTATTTGTTTCCCAGTATTGAACATTTTGCTAAACTGTACAGCCAGAAGATGGGAATCAAACCATCAGTATTATTGAAGACCCTCTGGGGAGATTATTATTTAAATATGAAAGCTAAGAAGATCATGAAAGTTGATCAGGTATGATTGCGGGTGTAAAACTAGAGTCTTGTTCTCTCCTTTGGGGGGGGATAAAGTGGAGTGTGCAGCGTTGCCACTTTGACTGCTTTTGAATGGCACAATTGCTCACACTGTCACCCAGATTCAGTGCATGGGTAAGCTGAAACTATTATTAATGGCCCTGTGAGAAACTGCAGTATCAGATATCTAATTGCTGGTACCAGTAGAAATACATTCAGCACCATAAATCAAAGATTAAGATATCAGCAAAGGAAAGAACCCATCCACCACTGGGGTTGACTTTTTTTCCCAGGGAGATTTTCAAAAGGAGAAATATTTGAAGTCTGATTCTCCTACATCTGATGTTGCTCAGTCCAGTCTCTTACTTTACCACCTCACGTTTGTCTCATGCATAGATCAGGCCGTAAGGCTTTATTGCCAAAACTTTTGTAAAACTAGGGTTCAGTCCAGCTCATTGTAGGTTCCACACTTTCTATGGAGGTGATATAGGATATATTCATAAGTGGGGAGCCCTGCACAAACTACTTGTTCCTCATAAGGGCTTGGTGCATGACGCATATGTAGCAGAGGAGTGGGACTAGAGCAGTGTTGTCCAAACTTGGGCACTTTAAGATGAGTGGACTTCAACTCCCAGAATTC